GGGGGACACGCGCGTGGCGTTGGGGGGGGGTGGTCCTACGCGCATGCGCGTGCGGTGCCGGGGCTGCGCCCCCCGGTGGGTGTGGGCAGGGACAGGGTCCGGGCAGGGGTCCGGTGTCGGTACCGGCATCGGTCGCGGTATGGTCCGGGCAGGGGTCCGGTGTCGGTGCCAATAATGTACAGGCAGGGATGCGGTGCCGGTGTCGGTATCGGTGTCAATGTGGTACCGGCAGGGGTCCGGTGCCGGTGTCGGTGTCAGTATGGGTCGGGCAGACATGCGGTGTGAGTGTCGGTGTCAGTATGGTCCAGGAGGGGTCCGGTGCCGGTGTCGGTGTCAGTATGGTACCGGCAGGGGTCCGGTGTCGGTATCGGTGTCAGTATGGTACCGGCAGGGGTCCGGTGTCGGTATCGTGTCAGTATGGTACCGGCAGGGGTCCGGTGCCGGTGTCGGTATCGGTGTCAGTATGGTACCGGCAGGGGTCCGGTGCCAGTATCGGTGTCAGTATTGTACCGGCAGGGGTCCGGTGCCGGTGTCGGTATCGGTGTCAGTATGGTACCGGCAGGGGACCGGGGCCGAGGTCGGTGTCGGTATCGGTGTCAGTATGGTACCGGCAGTGGACCGGGGCCGGTGTGGTACAGGTACAGCGCTGCGGGTCCCGCGCCCACACGCGGTCCCGGCCCGCGATGCCGCTCCAGCGCCCGGCCCGTCCCTGTTGCGGTGGTCCCCCGGTGCGGGGGAGGCCCAGCTCCCCTCTACCGGCACACGGTACCGGCTGCGGGTCAGAGACGGACGAGGCAGCAGGACCCTCATCATCCTCAGGGGCAGCGGGACCCTCGGCTCCTCGCAGGGCTGCAGGACCCTCACTGTCCCCCAGGGCGCTGGGCCCTTCAGCATCCCAAAGGCAACAGGAGCCTCACCATTCTCCCAGGACAGCAACACCATCAGCACCCCAAGGGCGGTGGGACCCTCACTGTCCCCCCAAGGCAGGTGTTCCTCATCACCCCACAGGGCACAGGACCCTCGTCATGTCCAAGGGTAGTGGGACCCTCATTGTCCCCCCAAGGCAGGGGGTGCCCTGTAATCCCCCAGGGGCACAGGACCCTTGCCATGTCCAAGGGCAGTAGGACCCCCACTGTCCCCTCAAGGCAGGGGTTCCTCATCACCCCCCAGGGGCACAGGACCCCTGCCATGTCCAGGGACAGTGTGACCCTCACTGTCCCCCCAAGGCAGGGGGTCCCTCGTCACCCCCCAGGGCACAGGAGTCCGAGGATTGTGGGACCCCCACTGTCCCCCCAAGGCAGGTGTCCCCTGTCACCCCCCAGGGGCACAGGACCCTTGCCATATCCAAGGGCAGTAGGACCCCCACTGTCCCCTCAAGGCAGGGGTTCCTCATCACCCCCCAGGGGCACAGGACCCCTGCCATGTCCAGGGACAGTGTGACCCTCACTGTCCCCCCAAGGCAGGGGATCCCTCATCAGCCCCCTGGGCGCAGGAGTCCAAGGATTGTGGGACCCCCACTGTCCCCCCAAGGCAGGGGGTCCCTCGTCACTCCCCAGGGCACAGGACCCTCACCATGTCCGAAGGCAGTGGCACCCTCACTGTCCCCCCAAGGCAGGGGGTCCCTCATCACCCCCCCAGAGCACAGGACCCTCGCTGTCCCCCCAGCTGTCCCTGCGGGGGCTACGGGAGCAGGGCTCAGGATCGGGGGTCCAGAACAGCGGAGCCCCATCATGGGGGTCCCACCATCCGCAAGGCCGGCCATCACTCACCCAACTCCGGCTTTGACTGGGAACCGTGACGTCAGAGCCAGAGCCGTGACGTCATCCGCTAGCCATGCCTGCCAAGGCCCGGGGCCGAGGAGGGAGATGGGCAGCGGTGCCGGCGCCGTCATCGGGCACCATGAGACCCCTCCGCGTGACGTCATATGTTTTTTTAATTATGTCACACGCCTGCTCCGCCCCACCCCGGTCAGGCAGCTGCGGGGGGGGAGGGTGATTCAGGCTGCTGCGGCGCCAGATGTTCGGGAGAAGGTCCAGATGTTGCCGGGACGCCGCCCCTGCAGAAGCGCCGGGGTGGCAAAAAGCGCGGTGTAACCCGGTGGGCTGGAGGGGTTCTGGGGGCCGGCTCTGTACCCCCCATTCCCCCAGAGCCCCCAAACGTCGCACAGGACCCGGGGAGCCGGTGCGATTCTCATTCCTCCCACCACGTGTAGGTCCCGGCCAGCGCTCCGCAGCCCCCTCCCCACTCGAGACCGTCCTGGACGGGGGCATGAGAAAGCCGGGAAGCCCCTTCCCAGTCCCCAACAGCCGCGGCGGGTGTCCGCTCTCCCGGGATGTCCCGTAGTGGACCACCCGCGCTCACGGGGCCCACGGCAACATTTGATACTGGAAATGGCAGCACGGAGAGTTCGCTGGTGCCGCGGCGGGAGGAGCCGGGGGATCGCGGGGACCCCGGGGCTTTGCCCCAGCCCCGGTACCGCATCCCCGGTCCCGGTACCGCATCCCCGGCCCCGCAGCCCTCGGTTGGCCCCGGTGGCACCGCGGTGCGGCAGCGCCCCCTGGCGGCCCCGAGGTGGCCGTGCCCCGTGCTGCCCCGCCGCTCCGGTGGGCGCGGGGGTCGGAGCGGCCGAAGGAGCGCCCCGGGGCGCGGCGGGTACCCCCGTGAAGCACCGAGTACCCCCAAGCAACGAGCACCCCTTTTCAGTGCCCCCGTGTTCGGTTCGGTACTGGAGGGCGCAGCAGAGGCGGGCACAGCCCGGGACCAGCCACGGGCTCGGACCCCAGGACGGGGACCGGGGTTCAAACCGTGCGGGGAAGGTGCAGCACGGGACTAACGGTCCGATCCCGTGCAAACGGGAACAGCGGTGCCACGGAACCGGGCCGGCCCCGGTGCGGGAATGGGCGGGGGGCACCCACGGGGATGGGCGGGGGGCTTGGAAGGGCGGCAAAGAGGGACCTGATTAGAGCAGGAGTAGGGTCAGGAGCGGGTGTCACCGATGGGGCGGGGGGACACGCGTGGGTGCGGGCAGTGGGTGTGTGGGGGCGGAAAGGGGCAGATGGGCGGTCACGAGTGGGATATGGGGTAGAAGTGTGGTCATGATGGGGGACAGGAATGAGGGGACACGGGGCAAGAGTGGGGTCACGACTGGGTGGGGGCTGATACGGGACGGACGCGGAGCCGGTGGGTGCCGCAGCCCCTCGGTGGCGACGTCCGGGGATCCCAGATCCTGCCGAGACTGGTCCCGGTCCCGGTGCCCTCCCATCCCTCTGCTCCCGCGTCTCCTCCCCCTTCCTGCGCTCGGCGCTTCCCGGCGGAGCGGGGCCGCCGCGGGGACCGGCCGCGCCCGCCGCCGCTATGGAGTGAACGAGGGGCCGCGGGGACCGGCCGGACCGGCCGCCCCCCGCCCGCGGCTGCTCTCGCCAGGTAACGGCGAACGGGACCGGGGACTCTGCCGCTGCTTGGCACCTCCCGACCCCGACTTCGTGCATGGGAGCCGGGGGGGGACGGGGCTCTGCGGGGTATCCCAGGGGCGGGGGCTGCCCGCGGCTGGGGGGGTGTCCAGGGGTGCTCCCTGTTTCAGGGTGGGCAGTGCGACGTGTGACAGGCTGAGCGGGGCCTCTCAGAGGGAGGTCCCCCTGTCAGCCCCTCACTGGGGTGTTTGGGGATGGGATGGGATGGGGAAGGGGCTCCGGCACCGGTGGCACCCAGGCTGCATCGGCCGCCCAGGTGGAAACGCAGCCCAGCTCGACCCGAAGTCCGGAACAGTCGCTGGGTGTGGGCAGAGAATGGCACCCAGCTCTGCTGGCACCCCACTCTCCTGGCTGGGTGTTGTTTGGGGAGGGGGCGTGCCTGGGACAAAGGAAGACCCCTTCCTTCCCCTGTCCCACCGGTGGACCTTGACAGCGAGTTCCTAGGACGGGAGCGGCACCAAATCCAGGCCGGGCTCCCCGAGCCGTGAGTCATCCTGGGCTGGGTCGGCTGGGAAGGCCCCGCTCCTCTTCCTACGAACCAGAAGAACTTTCATGCCCCAAGCGGTCAGCAGTGGGCAGCCCCCCCAACACGTGGGTGTCCTCCTCGTGGCACTGTCACCAGTGTCCCACCGTGTCCTGTGTTCTGGCCTCAGCCTCGGCTGGCAGCAGTGGCGTCCTCAGCACCGCGGGGAAACTGAGGCACGCTGAGGGGCAGAAATGTTCCTCGGGTTCTTCCCGGCGAGGGCAGAGTCAGAGAGAAGTCCGGGTGTTCACAGCATTTGGAAAACCTCAGAACATCTGTCGGTGCGAAAGCCCCGAGGAATCTGCGGGCAGGATAGGGAGCGTGCTGTGAGGTGCCCCGCAGGGTGAGGAGGGTGCAGAGGGCTGGGAGATCGCAGAGGGCAGCGGGGACATGGCCCGGGGTGGGATCCACCCCCGTCACCCCGACACAGCCCGCCCGAGGGTGAGGGGCTGAGGTTGGCTGCCAGAAAGGGCTGGTGGTTAATGAGTAACATCCGTGGGATGTACGGCAGCACCTCGGGACCGGGAAGGGGACTGGGAAGGGGACGGCGGCTCCGGCTTGGGAACAGGGTTTCCTGTTGCAGTGAGAGCACAAAGCCCGTGCTGAGACTGTGGGGGTCCCTGAGCCCCCTCTCCGTACCTGGGCTCCTCCTGAGCCACCTTCTCGCCCGGGAGTCCCCCAGCCCCACGGGTAGGCAAAGGCCTTCGGGTGGAAGAGGAAGCGAAAGTGGCTGCGTGGAGGGGGTTTGGGGAGGGGGAGCGGGTGGGGGGCGGCTGCTCCCCCTCCCCAGGTGCTGTGTCCTGCCCCGTGTGGCTTTCCCCAGCCACAACACAGCTGTGACCTCGGCTTCCCGGGGTGACCTGGAGGAGGCTCCCCATGGGGTGTTGCCCCCAGGAGGGAAGTGGGAAAAGCAGAAGGAGAAGAAGAGGGAAACCTGGAAATTGGGATTGGAGGGATTCAGGGCACGGCTGGGCTGATGGAGCTGCTGTGACTGATGCCAGGAGGGGACAGGCAGATCCCCAGCCTCGAGCTCCTCCTGGGCTGTGGGAGGAGGGAGCAGAGCAGCTTCTCCTGCAGGCTCTCAGCAGATCCAGGCATGCCTGGCTTAAGGCTTACGCTCCAGGTTGGCGCTTCCAGCCAGCAGCTGCCTCCCAGGGCTGAGCAGAAATACAGGTTTCATGGGGAAGGAGGATGGGGATTAACCTCGAGGGTGGCAAAAGAAGAGATTGTTTTTCCCCTCCTGCCAAGAATCCCACTGGGACTGTGGGGAAAAGCCCAGCAGCATTCCCAGAATTGCTGTGTGCGTTTCCCACCGGGCATTGACCCCTCGGAGCAACCTCATCCCAGCGGCGAATCCTCGGGATCTGTTTGCTCCGGGCAGCGTGGACTCGAAAGCAAAAGCACTGCTGGAAGGCGTCAGCCTCCAGCCACCACGCTCGGTCCCTTCCTGGGGTGGCACACGGTGCTCCGTGAGGGCTCCGAACCCACACACCGCGGCCAGCCCGGCGTGCTCCCGCTGCAGGGCTCGGGGCAGGCCGCAGGCGTTTGTTTGCTCCGGCCGCGACGTTGCCCAGTGACGCTGGCTTCCTTCCCCTCGCAGGCTTCTCGGAGTCTCTCAGCTCCACCTCCGCCCTGCGCCTTCGGCGGCTCCGCGCGGCCCAGGCCCGTGGGGAACGCGCTGCCCGCGGGGGATTGGGGCCGTCAGGCGGCTCCGCGCTCGCCCGTTCGCCTGAGGGCCCGCTCCGCCCGGGGGTCCCGCCGCTGCCCGGCCCCTCGGCTGGGCCGTGAGACGCTGCGGGATCCGCCGCGGGATCGGGCCTTGGCCCCGGGCGGGGCCGGCGGAACCGGCAGCGAGGTGTGTCCGTGTGGGGACCCCCCTGGCCCGCGGGGCTGCGGCGGGGCCAGCGGGGCGGGAGGAAGGGCGGGAGCTGCCGGGAAGAGGCGCGGGCAGTGCTGAGGGGACGGGCTGGGAATGTTGGGGTTCCAACGCCCACCTTGGGGCGCGGTGGGGCCGTGAGCCTCCAGCCCGGGCATTCCAGGTGGAATTCCCTATGTAGCGCCTCATTCCGCTTCTGTTCTTGCTTTTCCTGATCTCTGGAGCCCACCGAGTGTGAGGGGAGGCTGGGGAAGGGCCCCACTTGTGGGGGACACCTGAGGAAGTTCTGGGGGGCAGCCAAGCCACCTCACTGGGGTCAACCCAGTGGAACGGCCTCACCAAGTTTGGGGGAGTTCACACTTTTCCCACTCCCTGGGAGTTCCACATTCTTCCGGCTCTCCCATGCCAAATCCAGCAGCACTTGCCCATCCCTTCGAATGCCCTTGTGGCAGAAGGAGCAGGGAATCCCCGAGATGCGGGAAACTGAGGCACAAATGGGCTGCCAGCCCGCCCAGGATTGCCCAAGACACTGATCCTGGATCAAGATTCCCACTCCTCCTTCTTCTCCTCCTCCCCAGCAGCCCCAGCCCAGTGGAGCAGCAGGTTCAGATGTGGAGGGACAAGCAGCAGCTCTTGCCTCTTCCCTGAGGGGCTCTTGGCCCTCAAAGGCTGGCTGGGGGCTGCTCAAGTGGTCCTACCCCCATCCCCTCTCCTGTCTTCAGGTGACTGTTCCAAGATGTCCCTGTGGAACCTCGTGTCCCACATGCCACCAGAGGAGTTCAGCAGCCTCTCCACGGAGTTTCCCCGGAGTCTGCGCTGTCTCCTGGCCGAGTGGCTGGAGAACCAGCCTTGGTGAGTCTCCCTGGAGCCTTCCTCCCCGGAGCAGGGTCACACAGGGGCAGGTGGGGGATCCATGCCCATCGTCCCAACTTTTCCCCTCTCCAGGGAGTTCATCAATGGCTCAGACGCCTTCTGCAGCAGCATGGCCAGCAGGATGCTCTCGGACATGCTGGATAAACTCCGCAGCGCTGCCAGCAGCGATGGGCAGCAGTGCCAGATCCTGCAGCAAGTCAGCAACATCGAGGTGTGCAGGAACCCTGGGGCTGGGTCACGCTGGGATTGCAGCCAGCTCCCAGGAAAGCTTGATTATTTTATGCTGGAAGGGCTCAATGCCTCAGGATGGTCCCTATGTGACACCCTTTTCCAGGCTTTTGAGCAATGAGCAGACTCAGCAATTGGGTTTTTGGGGTCTTCCAGAGGACAGAGGGGGTTTGTTTGCATCCCAGGGCTGTCCCAAGTTCTGCAGCCCAGTGGCCCACAGGGAGCTGCCACGTCTTCCCTGAAATGGTCCCGTGGGGACCCTCCTGAGCCCCTCAGCCCCCACAGCCCCACTCGTCCCCAGCTGTTGGCACCTGGGGGCCATCTCAGCAGATGTTCCCCATTTTCTGCTCGAGTGTTTGATTTCTCCTTCCTCCAGGCCGTGTGGGTCTGCATTTCCTCCTGCTGTGAGCTCTGGGTTTCATTTTTGGGGCTCTTTCTCTTATCAAGGCTGTTGGAATTGCTCTGTCCCTTTCGCAACCCTCTGATTTATCTCCTCTGGCCAGCAGAGCTCAGAGCACCACGGCTGAGCAGGGCTCACTCCCAGAGCCCCATTCTGGTTGAAAACTCTGCTTTTTTGGTAACAGACCTTTTTAATATCCAGCATTTGGGAAGGGATCAGCTTTAGTCACAACTTCTGGGGAGCAGGGTGACTTTTCAAAACAAGACTGTTGCTTTTTGCTGTAGGAAACAAGCAGATGTTTCAGCTTAGGGATTTTTTTATTATTCAAAATGCTGACGCAGAGCAGCCCTCCTGTGTTCCCTCCTCCCTCCATCCCTCATCCCAGAACACCAAATCCTCATGCCTCCATGCCCAGCCAGGCTGTTCCCCGCTCTTGGTGCTGCTGTCCCTAGGTGGCCCCCAGGATGGGCAAGCACAGGGCTGGGGGCTGCAGGTGGGAGCCAAACCTGAGCCTCTCATCCCCTGAATCCCACATTTTCCCTGGAAGAGCCCACGGGGCTGCCAGTGCTGCATCCAGACCCCCACCCTGGAGCTCCCACCGGCACAGGAACCCACCAAGCACGTCATCAGCCATTCCCCCATCGTGTTTCTGCTGCTGTTTTGGGAAGTAGCTAATTTGGGAAATGCGTGAAGGCCGGAGGAGCTGGCACGGGGGACACGGGAGGCAGAGCCAGCAGGGGAATTCCTCTCCCTGTTTTCATTGGAAAGCATTGATCCACCCAGGGCAGCTGGGAGAGTCTCCCCCAGGTGTCAGGAAATGCGCACAGGAATGGAGAATTCCTTTCAGTTTGGATTTTTTTTTTTTGCTCTATTTCAAGTTCATTCTTCTACTTTTTATACAAAAAAAAAAATGGAGTTTGGGCCAATGATCCTGATGTTCCCTCCAACTCCAGATATTTCACGATTCTATGCACCATTTAAAGTGGTTTTAAAGCTGCAAATCAGCTCTGTGGTGGTTGTGGAACCCCTGAATTACCTTGTTTGGGGCGGGAGGGGGGCCAGGAGCAGGGGGCACGTGTCGTGTCCCCCCTGACACCCCCCATTTGTGTCCCCCCAGAACACCTTCCGCCGGGACCCGCTGCGGCTGGTGGCTGTCGTGAGAGCCATCCTGGAGGGTGAAAAAGCAGCCGTGCTCAAACGGGTGGGTGCTCCCCGCCCTCCTCCCGGGCACCCCGAGGTGCAGGACCGGCCCCAGCCCCCGCTGACCCCGCTCTGCTCTGCCCCAGCACCACCACCTGCCCCTCAGCTTCCACCGGCGGCAGGAGGAGCTGAAGTTCAGCCTGGGGCTGCAGCGGCTGCAGCACCGAGTCCGGGAGATCCAGGCGCTGCAGGAGGAGGGCTCAGGGCGGGACGGGGCTGTGCAGAGCCCCGTGGCTCCCAGGGAACTGCCCACCCTCATCCTGGAGGCTGTGAAGGAGCTGGAGGCGGCCAAACAGCAGGTCCTGAAGAGGATCCAGATTTGGAAGAGACAACAGCAGCTGGCAGGGAATGGGGCCATCTTTGAGGAGAATCTGGCACCGCTGCAGAAGAGGTGAGGGGGCACAGGGCAGGGCTGGGGAATCCTGAGCAACCTCCTGCTCCCTCTGCCGGCCCAAAGGGCTCTGGGTGAGTGAGCGTGGGGTGCTGAGGGGTCCCCCTTTTCCCCAGGTGTGAGAACCTGGTCGAGGTTTACTTCCAGCTGCAGCAGCAGGTGATGGCAGCGAGCACAGAGCTGGGGCCTGAGCTGCTGCCCCGGCTCCTGGAGCGCTTCAAGGAGGTGTTGTCCGGCCTGGTCAAGAGGTAACAGGCTGCTGGGGGCTGTGGTGGCCAGGGGTTGAGGTGGGTCTGCAGGGGATCTGGCAGAGCTGGCAGGGCATTGTGCCAAGTGCCATGGTGTCCCTTTGTCCCTCAGCTCCTTCCTGGTGGAGAAGCAGCCCCCACAGGTGCTGAAGACCCAGACCAAGTTCCAGGCGAGTGTCCGGTTCCTGCTGGGCCCGCGGCTGCTGAAGGCAGCGCCCAAGCCCTACATGGTGAGGGCTGACATGGTGACAGAGAAGCAGGCACGGGAGCTGGAGCTCAGCAACTACAGCAACACCCTCAGGTGAGCAGTGGGTGTGGGGGCAAGGGGGTTTCCCCACCGCTGTTTCCCCCCTGACCCCCTCCTCTGCCCAGCGAGAGCACGGGGGAGATCTTGCACAACACGGTGGCCCTGGAGACCAACCCCACCAGCGGGAACTGCTGCGCCAACTTCAAAAATGTGGTAAGTGCCACCAGCTAGGAGCTGGGCTGGGGGCTCCAGGGCCACCAGGGATGCTCAGCTCTCCTTCCCCAGCTGCTGAAGAAGATCAAGCGCTGCGAGCGGAAGGGCTCAGAGTCAGTGACAGAGGAGAAATGTGCCGTCCTGTTCAGCACCAATGTCACCTTTCAGTCCTGAGGCTGGGGATGCTCAGCTCTCCTTCCCCAGCTGCTGAAGAAGATCAAGCGCTGCGAGCGGAAGGGCTCAGAGTCAGTGACAGAGGAGAAATGTGCCGTCCTGTTCAGCACCAATGTCACCTTGACCCCCAGCAACGTCTCCATCCACCTCCAGGTACCCTGGGATGGGGCTGGATGTGCTGAGCCTTCTCCTGTGGGACACGTGTGCTGCGCTGGGGCAGTCCCCAGGGCAGCCACCATGCGTGGCTCAGGGCCACTCTGTGCCCCCAGGTCCTGTCTCTGCCCATTGTGGTCATCGTCCATGGGAACCAGGACAACAATGCCAAAGCCACCGTGCTGTGGGATAATGCCTTCTCTGACATTGTGAGTGCCACGAGCTGGAGGGAAGGAGCTGAAACCTGGGGCTGACTGGGCTTTGGACTCCCACCAGCGCAGGTGGGAGCAGGAGCCCAGGGGTGGGACATTGTGGGCATCCTGTCCTGATGACCCCCCCAGGACCGGGTGCCCTTCGTGGTGGCCGAGCGGGTGCCGTGGGACAAGATGTGTGACACCCTGAACCTGAAGTTCATGGCAGAGGTGCAGACCACCAAGGGGCTCCTCAAGGAGCACTACTTCTTCCTGGCCCAGAAGATCTTCAATGACCACAGCGCCAGCCCCGAGGATTTCCAGAGCCGCCATGTCTCCTGGGCCCAGTTCAACAAGGTGACTGGGAGGGATGGCCAGGGTGGGCAGGGGCCAGCACAGCCATGGGGAGCCTCATGGCCCCTCTCTGCCTCAGGAGATCCTCCCTGGCCGGGGGTTCACCTTCTGGCAGTGGTTTGATGGAGTCCTGGACCTCACCAAGAGATGCCTCAAAAGTTACTGGTCAGACAGGTGGGTGCCCCAGGGCTGGGCTTTGGGGGGGTCCTGATCCCACCGCACTGCCATGGGTGATCCTGACCCCTGTTCCCCACCTGTCCACCTCTCCAGGCTCATCATGGGCTTCATCAGCAAGCAGTATGTGTGCAAGCTGCTGAGCATGCAGCCGGACGGGACCTTCCTGCTGCGCTTCAGCGACTCCGAGATCGGCGGCGTCACCATCGCCTACGTCATGCGGGGCAAGGACGGTGAGACGGGGTCAGGTGCAGTGCAGGGGGGGTTCCTCACTGCCAGGGGGTGTGGGCAGTTACAGGAACCAGCGCTGGAATGCAGTGACGTGTCTCCCCTCGCTCAGGCTCCAGCCAGGTGGAAAACATCCAGCCCTTCTCTGCCAAGGATCTGTCCATCCGCTCCCTCGGCGACCGCATCCGGGACCTGGGGCAGCTCCGTAACCTGTACCCCAACATCCCCAAGGACCAGGCGTTTGGGAGTCACTACAACAGTGAGTGGAGAGGGCCAGGATGGGCCCTGGGCTGCCCCTCTGCACCCCAGCAATGCTGCAAGGGGTCGTGGGTCTCACCCAGCTGGCCCCAGGGCTTGCAGGGGCAGCTGGGGCTGGCAGAGATGTTGGCAGGGCATGGTGGGCGTGGTGGTTCATGGATGGTTCTCCTTCCTGAGCAGAAGAGCAGACTGGCAAGGACGGCCGGGGCTACGTCTCCACTGCCATCAAGATGACTGTGGAAAGTGAAAGGTGGGTGTGAGGCCGTATCTGTGCTGGAGGTGTGTGCACATGGGCCAGAGTTTGCACAGACCCCTGGCCAGCCTGAGCATCCCCCTGGGCAGGAAAATCCCTGACTGGGAAAAACAGAGCTGTGCTGGTGAGCAAAGAGCCCCCCCATGGACCCCAAACTGCACTGGGTCACGTCTGTGCACCTCCCACCCTCCCCCTGAGCACCCACTGGCACATGTCCCCCTTCAGAGCCTGGACCTGGCAGTGCTGATGGGGTCCATGTGCTTTTGCAGGGACCAGCAGCCTCCAAGCACCATGGGGGCCCCCCCCGAGGCCCCCCAGGCACCAATGTTCAACCTGCCCATGCTGCAGCACGAGCTGCACTCTGAGAATCTGCAGCCACTGCTGCCCCCCATCTGGTGAGTGCCCCGCTGTGGGGCGTGGGGTGGGGGCTGTGGCAGTGCCCCCCCTCAATCTGAACCTCTCTGTGTGTGCACTGCAGCCCCTCCACTCCATTCTGCCCCCAGCCCATGCCCACGGGCTACCCCACGGTTGAGAGCAACATCATGATGGTACCCGACAGGCTCACTCCCCCCTTCCACAGGTAGGAGCAGGGCAGGGTGGGGGGCAGCTTGGACACCCCTCCACCCCCAGCAGGGTCAGGGGTGTTCCCTTCTCTCTGAGTGCTCCTGTTCCCCACAGCCCATCACCGATTCTCTCGCCTCCCTCGCTGTCCCACTGCCAGGACCCTGCCTTCAGGCCCCCCGGGTAAGAGCTGGCACACAGGTAGAAGCGGGGCACCCCTTTCCCCCCCTTCCCCCCAGTCCTGGGCTGGCAGACCTGCAGTGGCAGGAGGAGAAGCCCCACCCCAGCCCCCCACAAACCAAGCAGTGCCCCCTCCAATACCTTGGGGCTGGTGAGTGCCCTGGGAGGACACGGTCTGCTCCATTCTTTGCCACCCCAGACCCTTCATGCCCAACCAGTACATGCCCGGGGAGGTCTCGCAGCTGCTGCCCGCGGGTCCCTCTGCGGAGCCGCAGGACGAAGAGATGCCCGAGCTGCCCCCGTTCCAGCCCGTGGAGGAAGCGCCGCTGCAGAGCCCTCCTCGGTGGTAAGCACGGGGAGGGGGCAGCAGGGGGAAGCCCCTCCCAGTCCCCTCCGCTCACCCTGCTGCTTCTGTCCCCAGGATGTCGCCCAACATGGATCAACCATCAGCCTCGGAGTTGGAGCAGCTCCTGGGGGTGCCCCTGGTGCCCCCCTTCGCGCCCCTCCCGCAGCACAGCGGGTACCCCAATTCCAGCCTGTCCTCCTGGGGGCTGGGGGAGGCGCGGTGGGATGACAGCATCCGGCCGGGACACGCGTGAGGGGGCTCTTGTGGCGGGGGACATCGGACTGGGACCCCCCCCCTCCACTCCCTCCCAGCCTTGCCTGGGTTCGTGGACTTGATCCGACTCCTGCAGGAGTGGAAACTCCAGCTGGGAAAGGCGGGGTTGGGGGGATTTGGGGTAACCCCCCGTCCCCCCCATCTCCGTGCATTGCTGGCCGCCCCCGCCGCTGCCGGGGGTCCGCGGGTGAGGGGGTGCAGGCGCAGGGGCCCCGTCCTGCGTGGGGGGCACCGGCAGCCGCACGCGGTGCCCCCAGCCCACGCCGCCGGGATGAGTCACCGCGGGGGCGGGAGGCGGCAGCGCGAACGGCGCCGGGGCGGAGGTGCCAGCCCGGTGCCCCCAGCTGGGGGGGGATACCGGGACCCCCATGGAGGGGGACACGGCCCCCCTGCACCCCCGCAATCAGCGCTTGCTTTGGGGTTTTGAGCTGTTCCTCACCCCCACCCCCCCCCCCCCCCAGCCCGGGCCCCCCTGCACCCCCGCAATCAGCGCTTGCTTTGGGGTTTTGAGCTGTTCCTCACCCCCACCCCCCCCCCTCCAGGCTGGAGCAGGGGGTAGGAAGATAAGCCATAAAATAAAGTTTTATTCCAAAATAACAAAATAAATAATCTACTGTACACGGTACAAAGGAAGAGTCGCTAATGCTCTAAAAAGACACCACACAGTCCTAACGGGGTGGGGGGGGAGCGGTGGGAACCCCGGGGCTGGGCACGGTTTTGGTGGGGGGGGGGGAAAGAGGAGGAACCCCGAGGGATTTTGGGGTGGGGGAACAGCACCTCCCCAGTGCCCGTCAAACGCCGCCTGCGTCGTGCTGGGAGGGGGTGACACCCCCCGGCACGTGTGACACCCCCCGGCACAGGGACCATGCTTGAAGCACACGCAGGTATCGGGGTGCGGGGTGGGGGGGTGCGTG